TGCCTTCTTCTCACAATCAAGACTACCACAAGTTCTCGAGGACGGGTCACTAGCAGCCTTCCCACTACTTTACAGCTTTAAAATGCAGCTGAAGTACTGACACAGCCATTTAATTCTAATGACCAAAACTGCAAACCTGGCGGTCAGTTAATGCCCTAAATCCAACAGAATGAACACTGGAATAACAAAAATACAAAGAATCCAAATTCATATCGCAAATTAACACCAGATTAGCATGCCAGCAAACATGCTTTACCATATAAACTTCCGATTTTGCAATGGTTAAAACAAATTACAAATGAACATTAAAAAGACTGTCCTGCGCAACTTCTGACCCACCGTACGGGCATCTCCTTTTGTACAGTCTCAGCAATTTATACAATATCCAGATCTACACAACTATACCCGACGACAGATATTCACGAGAAGTTTAAAGATATGTGCAACAGTAGCTAAAAGGAAAGTGAACTTAAATCATCAAACGAGAATGACAAAAGCTGTAAGGCGCTTTAAAGAATCTGAACGCTATGACAATCGCGACTTAAAAAGAAAACAAACATAAACAGAGCTCAGACAAACTCATAATAAGAAGGCAATTATCAAACGACCGCACAAAATGAGCCTTCAATTCAACTATCAAATGAATAGCTGCAAGCAGCTCCTCAAATTACATTGCCCGAAAGAGCGCCTGGCCACAACAACAGGGAACCATCATAGCTTCCGGAATTTTTCAAGATCAAACTTGCAAAAAAGCAGAAACTTGTAAGCTAACTAGTATACCAACTAAAATTTTCCATCGCGAATACCACCTTCTACATTGACGCCACTCTCAACAAAAGTTAAGGATTTCACGAAGAGCTGAAATGGAGCCTTGTAACAAGGCAACCACTGGCAATTCCAATCGTCTTCACGTCATGTTAACGTCCTTGACATACTCAATGTCTAGAACTCTAGTCGGGATTAGTACAAAGGATCACAACAAACTGTAGACTTCCCCGATTCTTCTATCAAAGGTGCCATTAATGTGGATGAACTGTCGTTCAGCCGATAATCCCTAGAAATTTAAACTGAATGCTTACACATATATTATAAACTTCACACTGAAAAACAAGCGATCAATTGAAAAACACATTTACTTTACAAATTGTTTTCAAGCAATCAATTCACTGTTCAAAGATGACAAGCCCTTACATATCTTTTCCTGTAGCTATTTCCGGTGTATGAGAAAAATGTGCTGCAAACGTCAGCCTAGACCCAACAGCCAGCTCAGTGGACTTTTTTATCAGTCCAATCTGGCACATTTGCTCATTCACACTACTTGCGGTCTTTAAGGATAACGGAACCAATCCTGGCTCATGGACTATTGAAGAACTAGCTTCAGTGGGT